AATGTTTATTGCCACGGAATCAATTACGATTAGTCTAAAGTCATAAAAGCACAAAAATACGCATATGTAACCCCAAACTTTAAAAAAAATAGGGGCGAAAACACATTCAGAGAATGAATCACTCACATACACGAAAAGCAAACCAATAAACGTACATAACAATAAGAAGATAACTTTGAATCTTACCAAATGAAAAGAATATGGCAGATCCGTTCCTATCCTTCAGCTTCCTCGTTCTCCACGTTAGGGCACCTAAACTAACCATCAAACTGTTCACATAATAAGCAAAACGATAAGTTCAGTTCAAAACCCGCGGAAACAAACGAGGAAAAAGAGCCATGTGGTTGCCGGAAAAAGGCCAATCACGACGGCGATCCGGCGGAGAAGAAAACGAGAAACGAACCAAAGATTCTTCGTTTGGAATTATTCACAAAAATAGAACGGAACCACTAATCAGTAATCAGCTTTCTCAAGAGTTTTTGTTTGCGAAAGGGCATGGAATACTATAAAACGGCAACGTGGTAGAGAGAGAAGAAAATATCTAAGCCAATAGCTATTAAATTAATAATTAATAACCTTTAACGGAGAGATAAAATTCTCTGCAGCAGAAGTATGGTGCACTTGCGCTGCTATTGCTCATTAAGTTGAAGTCAGCTTGTGTTCAAATGTTTAAGTATAAAGGTAAGTTGAAGTATTTAAAAACTGTAAATTTTTATTATATTAAACTTATAGAAAAAAATCGATGAGTATATTTAAATAAAAATTATTGTTTTTTAGTGTTTAAATTTAATTTTAAAATATACAATTAATTATATCATACACTATTTGATTATTTGATTGGTATTTTAATTATTAGTAATTTATCAATTACGTCAAGCTGTTTAATTATTATATGTAAATTAATATAAGTTCTTTTCTTGTAACAAATTTTTTTGCAGGAGGAAATGGTATTACATTTTAAGTTAGGAAAATTCGTCAAATTCAAATGAGTACTCTTTATTACTTCATTCAACCAACTCTTTAGTATTAATTAACAACAATTTTTAAATAAATATTTACTTTTAAATATTATAATGAAATAGTATGATGTTATTATTATATTTATTTAAATAGTTATTCTATTAATATGATTTTTCTATAATAGTCAAATTTAATATTTTTATTTAATTAACGTTTAAAAAATACTAACCCAACTTATTTTATGAATAAATGTGACTTTTCCTAGGCTTAATGTGCATTCAATTATAAATCTCCGATAATAATCAAATTTGTTATAAATCCAAATCCAAATAAAGGAGGGTAAAGAGTAAATTGAGCAATTTTAGTCATTTTATTAGCAATTTTTATTAAATAGTAAGAATTTTATACTTATGCTGCTAGTATTTAAATTTATATATAAATAAAAAGAGGAACGTAGTAGTATCATCCCACCTTAAAAAGGAATATGGTTACAGTACGTTTTATTAAAAATATTTCTCTTCTTATAAAAAACTTTTAAAGTTAGATCATACTTTATATATATATATATATATATATATATATATATATAATATGTATGTATGTATACATACTTTTAAAAATTAAAAATTAAAAATTAAAAATTTATTTCATTTAATAATTTATTATAGATATTAAATTTTATTGAGTAATATCAAAAATTATCATTAAATATAAATTAAAATTTAAAAATGTATTAATATTTTATAAATCAATTTTAGATTATAAATATTATATTTTAAAATATAAATAAATATCAACCATCAAAATCACATATTTATAAACTTATCTAAAATTCTATGTATATAATTATTAAGACAATATCAATAAAATATACTGAATCAATAGAAATGCATCAATTTTGTAATTTGTATATTGAAAATATTATGTCAAAATAAAATTTTAAACATATTATAAAAATAAAAAACTAAAAAGTTGTTATTTTTAATTTTCAAAAATAAAAAATCATCAATGTCGATTTTTCTTTTTTTTTTAATTTCGTAATTATCTTCAAAATTCTATATTTCCATATATAATATTTTCAAAATTCATATAAGAAAAAACCTAATGTCAAATCAAGTGCAGATTAGATATATATAGTCTACATTTTATAAAATATTTGAATCATCGATATAAATACGTGCTCGTGGGTAGACATGTACACAGCGGAACAGCTGTCGGAAATAGAAAATTTGGAGACAGAGACAACGATGGAGCGTTCTTTGCCTTTTCCATGGAATGTGGACGCACAGCGAGCAAGCAGGCAACTTGACCATGTTTCGTTTTAACTTTGGCAATCTTCAATGTTTAAATTCATTAATCTTTCTTTATATGTTTAAGATGACGAATGTTTCTTCTCGTGGTCCACCCTCAACTCTTTTTTTTAAGCACCCTTCACTTGTCTTGCTTCTCAATTGATAAGCACAATGAAATATACGTACGTACGTGTGTATATATATTATATATATAATACTTTTATATTTAGGTAAGAGAGAGAGAGAGAATTTCTTCCTTTGTAATATAATTTTTTATTATTATATTATTATTTATAGTAAATTTTTTAGTAAATAAATAAACATAATAACAACTTAAGATTAAATTATAAATTATTTTTACGAATTTTATATAGTATGTTGTTAATATAATGATTGAATTATCTTCATAAGAAAGGCAAAATAAATAAATTAAATTAAGTTACAGAGATTATGAACATATAACTTCAACAACTGACACAAAGAACTGTTAACTATGTCTAATCATATAATTTTAGTAAAACAAAACTTTAATTACAAGTACTTATGTAAAAGTTATCACTCTAAACTAGAAAAAGAAATACTATTTATAAATGCAATCCTAATTACTACTTAAAACATCTTAATCTAAAAATATAACTACTTAAAACACATTTTTGTAACACTCTTATATATTGTTCATGATCTTTATCACATATTTTAATCTTTAACTACTTTAAATAGTCTTAATGTATCTGGAATTTCTACCAAATTTCATCATTTTTTAAGATATTTTTATCACTTGAACTTATATGTTTTTTCATTTGAAATACTTGAACTCTTTTAATAAAGCAATCTTGAACTAGTCTTTCATGCATGCTTATTAATAAATGATCTTGGAAAAACGCTTTAGAATACCTTTTTCTAACTAACTTTAAAAAAACACGTCAAAATATTTTTTTTTTTTAACTAATTTTGATAGTTTTAAACTGTTTGTCTTCTATCAATGATTTTTTATTATGACTTGCCAAAATTTATTGAAAGGTCACTTTTTTTACTAAAAATTAGGTTTTTTTTTATTTACAACTTTCTTATAAAAATTAGTTAAAAATATCTCTTCATTTCAACTAAAAAATCATATTTTTTTCTTCATCATAACTTACCTAAAAACTTGTCAAAAAGTTACTTCAAAAAAAGAAAATCAATATCTCCTTTTGTCTTTTTTTTTACTTCACAAAGTTCATTAAAAAGTAAAAGAATCTTATAATTATATCATACCAATTTTTTAATCAAAATATATATATTTAAACTATATAAGAACTATAACTTTCCACAAAGAAGTAATCAACTTTTGCTTCATACTGATAACTCAGATATTCTTCAATTATATTAAAACCTTTTGTCCGGAAAAAACCATTATAATTGAATGTTTTCCATTTCTCCCGAACAATTATATATTACATATTTTTACTGTTATCTTCCTCTTTAGTATGTCCATTTTATGCTCGATTCATGAATTTCAAATGCCATTTTCGTTATAAATACGTGCTTATCTATTGATCGAGCTCCTGATTGTATTTAATTAAATATTAAATGTAGTCTAACATCATCGGATGTTGGGTCCAACGAGATATCGTTCTAACAAAGCACAAGCAGAATGCAAACAGAGAAAATAAGTAAGGGAGCAAAAGATTAACCCATGCCAGCCGATTCCAACACATACTGAATGAACAACATTACCCCGGTCGAAAACCTCATCCTCCACGCAATATCAAGTTATTAAAATCCGACACAACGTTACACGCAATATCAATATCCATATGATGCTTCCATATTCACACCGCACCAATTCTGCATGGCATTGACTCACCGACTCTCGTTGCTATCTGAGCTGCTAAGCCTAGCTAATGGAGTCCCCTCCAACGTCAATGATAGGTAAAAAGAAAATGTTAATATTGATGTTTAGGGAACAATAATAAAAAATCGAAGGTTTATAACAAAAAGAAACATGCATGATAGAATTATCTGGTAAAGATTTGCATAAGGTGCTTGTATGATGTGTTGGACAATTGTTTATTTAAATTTTTATTTAATAATATTTTTTTAAAGTGATTATTAATGTCATAAATTTATTAAAATAGATTTAAAAAGTATTTTAATTAATTATATTAAGAAAATATGTTAAAGTAAGTTAAAATCATAAACTGTTCATAAGGGATCCTAAACAGAGTTTTGAACTTCACAGTTTAACTCCGGGACTCGAAAAAGAATGGTACAAAATCGAACTAAAAAGTGGAATGCACTTGAGTCAACTTGAGCAAAGCCAGAGCAAATTTCCAATTATTACGGTAATCTTAACAAAAGTTGCCTTCTCTACCGTGTATTTGAGTACAACTTCCGAGGGCATCTTGTTTTACTTATCTTTGTTTCCTGCCTTTCATGTTTGCTTTTGCCAAAGTAGTTCTGAACTAATTATTGCCTCCTCTTCAACTTTATAAATATTTATAGTAGAATTAGATACAATAATAACGAGATTCGCAACTAATAATAATCATGCATTATTATGTTGATTTGAACATCAATTTTTTCTCCCATGTCCAGTTAATTGAAATAAGATGATTTCTCTTCCTCTCATCATACCCCAGTAAGAAAGCACATCAATAAAAAGCGTAGTAATAAACCACGTAACACCAGCTATTTACTTGAAAATATTGTTTTTTATGTTTTACATTTTGCATTCCTAAATACATGTTTTTCATGCATATGGTATTGTAATGAAACCATTAAAAGATGCATAAAATCACTGCTAACTAGTTTGCTGGGCAACCATCAACGGTTATGCCCTTTGCTGTTGGGCAAGCTGCCAGTGGACAGTGTTCACCATCATTTCCCCACCAAGAAAGGCTCTTGTTTTCCAAACCAAGTGAAAAGTAGAGCAAGACGGTCATAAAAGCAACTCCACTGTCAAGTGCTGCTGATAGAACATAGTTGTACCTCTGCCACCACTTCTTTCTATAACGGAAGATAAAGAAGTTGAAAATTGTTCCAACGAAAATCCATGCATTGTAGTTCAATGGTGTTGCTGGTGGCATCATCCCAGTTGCTCCCAGGAGAACTGGAAGGTTGATTAAGGGAATCCATGACTGTTTGGGAAATGCTTTGTGCAATAGCCAAACAATTATGGGTCCTAATGCTCCTCCAAGGAAAAACCAATTCATTGCACTGTAGTTTCCTTGAGAACCAAAGATACGCCTTGGTCCCACCAGACCCCAAATAACTGATGCATCAAAGAATACACGGTCCCCTGGGCATGTCCAGGGACTGTCTGCAGGAAGGAGATCATCATGACATATATTCTTGACAGAGTTCAGCAACCACCATGCTACCCCAATGTTGATGGTTCCAGCAAGCATTGTACCTATGAACTATAAATACATGTGGGAACAAATTGAATTAATGTATCAGAAACTATATAATAAATGTATTATCACTATCAGCATATAAGGTGAGTTGTTTTTGTGTGTGTGACAATTAAACCCTTTGGTTAAATATACTTGTAAATTGTGATATACTGGCATAAATAATAGAAAGCTGGCATATGAGTCCTACAAAACTTGAGCGAAAAGGAGAGGGCTTGTGTTTAAGAATATACCTGAACTAAGAACATTGATCTTGGAGGAATTTTCATGTAGTGCCCGAGCTTGAAATCACTGAGGAAGGAGACAGCCTGCGCCATGCTAATGTAACCATAGGTTTTGAAGCAAACATTTGCTATTGGTCTTCCAGGGTAAATCAGACCGAAGACATACTCGGTGATGATATTCAATCCTGGTGTCTGAACGCAGAACATAGGAGAGCATTAGTCAAAACCTGAGATTTTTTGTGGTCCCGTAAACAGAGTATTTATTCTTTAAAACCACAAGAGAACTCTCAAGAATAAATTACATATAATACAAGATACCAACGTAATAGCTCCATCTTATCTTAAACTGTTCTTAGATTAAGAAGTAATCACTAAGAAAGCATTTTGAGTATTATTTCAGAAGATATCACTATCTAGCTTTGTCATAAGACGCATAAAAAGATGAAGTTTCTAACTAGTCCATGGCAATTCAGATAGGAAAAAGTCCCATCAGATTAAAATGTTCATGCCATTTTGTAAATAACTGTTAGATATAAAATTAACTAAATCTGTCTATACAACAGTTAAGCTTTTAGCATAGTATTTGAAATAATATTCAAGCTCCTACGACCAACTTGCTAGAAGTTCGATCGATCTATACCACCCCTAGTCCTTTAAAGTAAGTTAAATTTCTGTACAACACAGAGTTGGTCTATGCATGTGCCATAACATAATAGGGGCAAAAGTTGCAAGATTTTAACCTGGTTTGTGGTGGCAGTGATGATGCTGATGGGGAGGGTAAATCCAAAAGCTAGGACTCCAGCAAAGAGAAGTCCCCACCACGGCATCTGAACCTGCTTATTTAGAAAGATGCATAGTGCGAGAGAAACCAAAAGTGTCACACCCAGCAATGAATGAAACCACCAAGAAGGTATGTCTTTGTATCTTTTCATCAATTTTGTGTGGATATCTTCTTTGCCCTTGGAAGAAGCACGATAGCGGTCCATAATCTCTCTGCATATTTAGTTATACAAATCAACATATAACTACTTTTTGACCAATATAGCTGATAGCTCATAAAAATTTAAGCTGTGAAGGGAATTGGAGGAAGTTCATTTGTTGTCGTAATGTTTCATTTGCAGCTTCAGCTATGTCATGTTGATATATCTTTAGATATTACACATGAACTCTTGAGAAAATTGTGGAAGCATCATCATTTTTTTAATGTAATCTATCTTTGAAACCAAAATTTCAAGTTATTCTGTAAAGCATAAAATTTCTAAAGCTCTAGCTTATATGAGTAAATTATCCAGAATTCTAAGAATTATTGTTTAAATGTCAGATATTCATTAGTTTGCACAATATGCAACTGTAAAGTACCTCTACAATTTCATCATATAAATTACAATAATTTTTTGACAACAAAAGCAATAAAGAATTTAGAACATACGGGTGCAAGTGTTTGTTCCAGAATTTCAAACTCAACAACATCACATCCCTTATCAAATTAATAGCAAGAAACTAAACATCACTGGTAAGTAAACAATTTGAGGAGCATTACCTTCCATAGAAGCAAACAACATGCGTAAGGGTGGATGCTATGGTGGCAAATCCAAAGCCATAGGTGAGAGCAAAAAACACACTTAGATGAATTCTACCTTGCTTTTCATACTCTGCAACATTTAGCTCAAAATTGTTGTCCACAATAGCAGATATATTGTAATGTTGACCTTGGGCTGTGAACAAGTGTGAGGAGAAAATGGGAAACCTATTGGCATTGTACACGTTGAGGCCCCAGTATGCTATAGGAATCACAGCATAGACTATTAATGCATAACCCACAAAAACATTGACAATGGCAAAAAAGGGTGAGATTAGAGGGCTGAACAAGAATGATGCCACAGCAGACCAATCAAGTGTGAGTGCTCCAAGGCCCAAGCCTTTCATGCCTGAGCCTATTTGCTGAGCTGTGACTGACTTTGAGAATATCCAACACACCCATGATATGTTTGTGAGCGTTGTGAAGAAGTATCCAGGGATCACATACCACGAAAAACTGCACACTAGTGCAATAAAGAAGAACTTTGCTCGTGAAAGTCGGTGGTCATCTTTTTCATGCAGTGCTCTGCATACCAAAAATTTTTGCACGTAACTATATTGTTCGGATATACATCAGTGCTAAGTCTGCATGCAATGTGGTTGCATGTGCAACATTTTATTGCTACATCGTAGCTACTCTAGTACTCTTACACCTGTTGTCCTTTGTTGCATCCTTAATTTTCCAGTTGTAATTTTAACGTTGCTCTCGCAACACAGCTCATAAAGCTACAAACCGATGGGTCTAATATCTATCTACCTTCCTTACAAGACTTTCCTAAACTTCCATATAACAGTTGCCAGTTTGTTAGAATCCAAAGCAATGATAATAATAATAATAACGATTTTTTTGTTCAGTTCAATATTTTACAGAATAATAAATTATATGTAGTAAATTTTTGTTATCAATTTTTAATAAAAGTTTATTATATAATTTATTATCATAAAATCGTAATAATAATAATAATAATAATCTTGTCAATTAAAGAAAAAAAGTCAATTATATTATATTTTATTTTATTGACAAAAAAGTAAGTTCAATTGATTACGAAACTAGCATCGTGGGTCATGCAAAGCGGCTTCTTAGTGTGGACCTCCATTCTCTCCCTGTCTCCTTCCTAATTTGTAAGTAGTTTCCACATAATTGGTCAAATATGATTTTGACGTTAATTCATGGACTAAAGATTTATGAGATACAAAAGAGAAGTTATTATTAATATTGGTTAAAATTTATTAAATATTATAAAAATATGAAAAAAAAAAAAAAGAGTAAGAGCGAATATAATTTATGTAATTCTAATATATTTTAATTATTTAAAAATATGTTAAAAAAGTGTGTTAAAAATGTATTACTAATATTTTGGGTCAAAATAAAAAAGGAAGCTTAAATGGTTGACATTAACGTTCTTGTAGTTTTTATAGTCAAGCTAGAATCTTATATGGCCAGGTGGGCCAGCTCTGTCTTTTATCGATACATCTTCCCCTCCTCAACTTAGTCCCCCATATGAGGAAATATAATGGAGAGTCGATTTTTCTACACGCAAATTTTCTTGACCTCTAGTGATGAATGAAACCCAATTATTATTTCTCTGTTTTAAATGCACTTGACCCAAATTGAGGACAAATTCACTCAACCATTAACCATCCTTAGGGAGGTTTTGACAATCTCTCCTTTCCGTCTTAAATTCTATCCGCTATCTAAAAAGTAAAAACATTTATTAGCTTAAAGGATGTATGGATGCATATTTCAAAAACACTACTAGCGAGCGTGGCATCACTGTACATATTATGATAATACATCAAAATGAAATGTGAACAAATATAAATTATAGACAAGAGAAAAACCTAAAAAGCAGGCATTTAACTTTAAATTCAAAAAAATAAAATAAATAATACATCAATTAATAACTTTTTATAAAAAATTCATTATATTTTCTATTGATAAAAATAATTAAAAAATATATAAAATATCTTTTGATTGATCAATGGAAATTATATAACTTTCAATAATGAAAACTCAATAGAGATGGGATAGAAGTAGATAGCAGTATGTATCAGGTGTTCTTCATTTTTCTCGGCTTACCGGAAAAGTGAGACCTGGACGAGAGTGCTGGGCCACCACATATGGGCCGGTTCGACCACGTACTTCCTCAGTAACCCGGCCCATCCATATCCTAGCACCTTCAGAGCGCCACCATGATGAAGGCATTAATTACAAGGTTAAAAGCAATATAAGAATTTCGGCCCTAATGCATTTGTTCATTGTATTACAACATATACAACACCGCAATAATTTGAATAAATTATATTTAGTGCTAAATTAGAACCTAGTGTATCCTAATTATCAATGTAATTTTATACAATATGATAATAAAAAATATATAATTATTCTGTTACAAACGGTAAACGTTATATAAGTATCAACTTTCAATGAAATAATCCATCACAAAAGCAGTTTAACAAAATAATTAGGTTTAATTGTAATTTTTATTCGTATAATTCATGTATGGTGCAATTTTAGTTATTCTAATTTTAATTGTTCATAGTTATTGTTTTAATTTTTTAAATTCTTAAATTAAATTTCGCTATAAAATTAAGACTTTTATTATATTTTTATGTTTTATTTTATATTTTATTTAATATTATATATATATATATATATATATATCAATAAAATGTAATTGTTGGATAAAATTTTGAAATGGAAAACTTAATTTGAAAAAAACTAAAAGCAAATAATTAAAACTAAGGATCTAATTGTGCCTAGGTTAAAGTAAAAAAGATGTAATTAAGTCAAATAATCATGATTTGAAAGAATATAAATTGTTCCACCGAGTGAAAAAGGAAGATTTTAATAACTAAAAAACATAATATAAAAAAGCCAGAGTGAGAGATTTAAAAAACGAAAGGGAGTAGCAACAAATTATGGATTGCTTTAAGTAAGATAACGTAAGAATCATGACATAATCATGAAAAGGACGAAGAATCTAGTTATGGTAAGAAATCGGTTGAATGGTCCATAAATAAATGATTAATTAATTTCTTCATCGTGGGTCTTTAAAATACATGATAAAAAATATTATATTAATAGCTTTAAATTTTATAATTTAAAAAATAATAATATTTTAGCGTGTGGTCTGAGGCACAAATTAAAAAGAAAAATACATAATTAATATACACAGGCTTCACAATACTACAAAAAAAATTAAAGAAAAAATGATTAAAAAAAGGGGATAATGATTAGCGAGCGAAGGGGTGACTCGGTTAGCACAGACCTGAGTGGTAATGATGAGAAGCCAAGAAGCGAGAAAGGAGATGCTGCGTCCATAAAAGGCTTTGATGATGTTGACGATGCCCACCGCATAGGGCGACCCGGATCCGAATGCGCTACCAGCATTGGCGAATATGGTAATGAGCACGTGCTCCTTCATGTTAAACGGACCCGGGTTGAACGAAAACAGGTTTGACCCGAAGCCGGGGATTTTGAACTTGGTGGTGGGTAGAATCGCCGCCATGAAGTGGCCAATGGGGAGAGTAGCCACCTGAACGGTGATCTGAGTTATGATGAGGGGTTCGGTTCGGTATGCGAAGAACTGGTTGAGGAAGGACAAGAGGGAGCAAGAGAGAAGACCCAGGAACCACATCCGGAAGGTCCATACGGGACGGGTCGGGTCATCGGTGTTGGTTACGGTTAACCGAACCTCCTCAATGGGAGACACTTCGTCTTCGTCCAGTGCTTGTTCTGTTGTGGTTGGCTTCTCTGGGTCAGAACTCATGGTGTGGTCTTAGAAAAACGGTGGCTTTTGGATTTTCTTGAAGATTTTGGGTTTGGGTTTGGGTTTGGATTTGGAAGATATAGTATTAGTAGTACTAATTATAAAGAAGACTTGGTTGGTCCCCTCCTCTCTTTTCTCCAATGCATAGCTGTGGTGTGGTGTGGTGATGATGGTTTCACACCTTTGCAGCTTTGATCAACTTGGTTTAGATTCTTGTTGATTCGTCAATTGTGAACTACACACAGTATCTGAAAAATATATATTATATTATTATAATATCACTTGTTTAAAATTTTGACCAACTTATTATATTTATATTCGTGTAATTGGTATTTACGTTTTGAAATAACAATTATTACTTTTACCTTTTTTATTTCAACTTTAAACATTTTATGTAGACAGAGAGAAGATAACTTTGCCAAGAATGATGCTCATTTGACACCTCTCAAAGTAGATGGAAAATAATAATAAATAATATGATTAAATAGGTATAATAAAAAATTCTATAATACTTTTAAGAAAAACAAGAAAATCAAATGTATTTCTTAATTATTGTACTAGAACCTTAAACGACTACTTTTTCAGAAAAAAAAATAATATTATTTTTAAATGCTTAACTCAAGCATAAAACTGATATTAACAATACTATTTTATTATTTATTCCTTTTTACTTAACTTTTTTATTTGCTTAGTTATTTGTCTACTTCAAAATCCAACACTTTTCAATTAAGTTTGATCATTATATATATATTACAATTATTACCTTGCTTTCCTTAACTAGCTAGTCCAAAAATAATTTCAAACAACGACGGCACGGCCTTCATCTTTTGATAGTTACCTATTATCACTTGGCGGATCTTATGATGTAGTATGCTAAAATAATGGTCCCAAGGCATCCAGCTATATTTATTTCTTCGTTTCAACTTTATTTGTCAACAGACCAGTATTTTAGTAACATAGTGGCAAGTTGTTTTATCTATATGACTTTGCTGCCACATGAAAACACGGGTTGCATTATTTCTCCAAAAGTTTCTTCGAAACGACGCTTTTTGAGAACATGCGTTCATTGATGAGAAACACGACCTGGACTTAAGAATGAACCTTATCATTATTTTATGAGATAACTACATCGATTATTTTTTTCCTGAAGCACTCTTATTTTTATGCATGAATCGTACATGTAATAATAAAGCAAGTGATTTGTAAGGATTTATTTAACATGCGAGTACTTCTCAAATAAAATTGAGCTTTTAATTTCATACTCAATGTTCACTTGCTACCATACAGAATACCCTGTATAAGTTGTATCTGTCTGCCACATGCAAACATACACACGCATTGCCTCCGGTGTGCTTTGGCATTTGTAGATTCTTCGTCCAATTTTTCTGACTCTGAAGCAATCAATTGGAACCAATGAACCACTTCTCCCCCCGTTTCTACATAATTGGAAAAAATAGACACAGCTTTGTAATATTAATATAATCGAAAGACGGAATAAAATAAATAAATAACAATAATGAGACTTTCTGTAAATTTCTTTAGATTCTTATTATTATTATGGATAAAGATGTCAAACTATTTGTCAGGACTTATGGATTAAGGTTCGTTTGGACAAATTATTTTTTATAAAGTTTCAATTAGTTTTTAAAAATTTACATTCATTATCCCTTCTCTTAGTAATTTTATTATCAAATTCTTGTACACTATGATAACAATTTTATAACAAAATAATGATGACAACGACGACTTGCATAAACAGATTATTTGTCAAATTATTCCCGTGTTAATTTTGAGAAATAAACCAAACATACAATAAATATTGAAGGAGATGTTTTGGAAAGTCTTTTAAAGACAATTATCTAGCTATAATTCACACTTACACTTATTCACAAAGTCTCAAAGATGGCAGCTTCTGAAATAGCAATAACTAGTCCCAATTTTTACGATTATTATAAATGACAATAATAAAAACAAAGTAAACTTGTTAGTTATGGCGCACCTGACGTAAGTTCTCTCTCTCTCTCTCAATAAAGATTAAAATAGATGGAGTTGAATCAAGTATCGTCTTTAGAATGTTTTAAACCATAATAACAGAATAGTTTTCTCGGTACTCGTTATTTTATTTATTTGTTTTTTAATAAGTTATATGAGATAATCTCTATAAAATATAAAACAGTCGTGTCATAAAAATATTAGAAAATTAAATTTATTCAAATACGACAAGTTTTCCACTTGTAATTCACTTTTGAGGGAATTGTACCTGTTGTATTGTAATTCAAAACTCTGTTATGACAGTTAGTGGCTGGTAACTTTTCTGTTACAGCGGGTGGTTAATACTGTAATACGAATTTTTCTGTAGATTATATATAAATTCAGTTTCAATGATCAATAAAGTGTTGATCCATTTTCTATAATTCTCATAACTCTCTTATTCTCTTTTATCGTAAGTGTGTGTGATTATATTCTCCCCAACAAATTGGTATCTAGAGCTTGAAATTCTTGGGACCGGTTGAAAATCGAGAAAGTGGTGTTGCAAGGGTGCAGAGATATCTTGTAGTGCAGTGGTGAATCATGATAGGTTCAAATGAGAATCTTCTCAACAACTTGCCAATTCTTGATGGTAAGAACTATGACAAATGGTGCATTCAAATGAAGGTCATTTTTGGATTTCAAGAAGTGTTGGAATTAGTTGAACAAGGCTTTCAAGAATTGGGTGCAAATCCCACGGATGCACAAAGGGTTGTTCACAAAGAAGTTAAGAAGAAGGATTGTAAAGCAATGTTTTTGCTCCATCAATGTGTTGATTCAGCAAACTTTGAGAAGATTGCTAGTGCTAAGACTTCAAAGGAGGCTTGGAAATTCTCCAAAAGTGTTATTCAGGTGCTGATAAATTGAAGAAAGTAAAATTGCAGACCTTGAGAAGGCAGTATGAGCTGCTTCAAATGGAGAATCAAGAAAGTGTTGGAACCTATCTTACCTGAATATAGACTCTTGTGAATTCAATGACAAGCATGGGAGAAAAGATCGATGATGTGATGATCATTGAAAAGGTGCTTCAAACTCTCACCGCTAAGTTTGACCATATTGTAGTTGCAATTGAGGAATCCAAAGATTTGGATACAATGAAGATAGAAGAATTGCAAGGTTCATTAGAGGCCTATGAACAGAGGTTGAATGAAAGAAACATTGAGAAGTCTATTAATCAAGCCCTGCAAGCTCAAGTAACAGAACAGAAAGGAGGAGAAAGAGGTGGAAAACCTTGGAGAAGAAGAGGTAGAGGAAGATTTGGAAGAGGTGGCAAAGGTGGTGGTTTTAGACCATCATCTTATAATCAAGATCACTCTCAATCTAATTATGAACATGGTGAATCCAGTGAAAAAAGATGTGGTGGAAATTTTAGAGGTAAAGAAAGAGGAAAGAAGATTGACAAAAGAAAGATCCAATGCTTTAATTGTCAGAAATTTGGGCATTATGCAGACGAATGTTAGAGTGGAAAAAACAAAAAGAAGGTAAATGATGATGAGGCCTATGTAGTGCAAGAAGATGGGTCTGATTTTGATCAAGTATTATTGATGGTGACTACCAATTCTGAACTTGATGGCTCAGAATCTTAGTACCTTGACACATGTTGCTCAAACCATATGACTGGGAGGAAGAATTGGTTGATTGATCTTGATAACAGTATCAAGAATAAGGTCAAATTTGCATACAATAGTACTGTTTCAGTTGAAGATTGGCAAAATTATGCTGAAAAGGAAGGATGGTAAGCCTGCATATGTGAATAATGTGTTGTATGTACCAACCATGAAGACAAATATGTTAAATCTTGGGCAGCTGCTGGAGAAAGGATTCGAGATGAATATGAAGCAGAAATTCATTGAGGTGTACGATGAAAAACACAGATTGGTGTTGAAGGCTCCTTTGTCAAATAATAGGACCTTCAAGATAGATATTCAAGCCACAGAAGTGCAGTGCTTATCAACTATAGTTACTGTAGATGAAAGGTGGCTTTGGCATAACAGGTTTGGTCATCTTAATTTCAAAAGCTTAAATCAGCTTAGTTGTAAGTAGATGGTTTTAGGTTTGCCTTTGATTACTCCACCTAACAAAATCTGTGAAGGGTGCTTGGTGAGCAAGCAACCAAGGAATGCATTTAAGACATATGCTCCTTGTAGAGCACTTGAACCATTGGGAGTCATTCACTCAGATGTATGTGGTTCAATTGAGACTCCATCACTTGGAGAAAATAGATATTTTTTAACTTTTTTTTTTATGAATACACCAGAAAAATATGGCTGTACTTGATCAAGGTAAAACTTAAAGTATTTTTAGTATTTCAAAAATTCTGTGCACTGGTTGAACGACAAAGTGGCAGAGAAATAAAGATTATTAGAACTGATGGAGGTAGAGAATATACCTCCAAGGAGTTTGCTAATTTCTGTGAAAAGAAGGGAATTGTGCATGAGTTAATTGCTCCATATACGCCTCAGCATAATGGCTTGGCAGAGAGAAGGAATATAAGCCTTCTTCACATGACTAGATGTATGCTAAAAGGAAAAGGAATGCCTCATAACTATTGGGGAGAAGCAGTGTCTACTGCTGCTTATGTTTTAAACAGATGTCCTACAAGGAAAATGAAGAATGTAACCCCTGAAGAAGCCTAGATAGGAAGTAAACCAAGTGTGAATCATTTCAAGATCTTTGGTTCACTTTGCTACAGGCATATACCAGATGAGAGAAGAAGAAAACTTGATGATAAAAGTGAATCCATGGTGTTGGTTGGATATCATTCAACAGGAGCTTACAAACTGTATAGTCCATTTCAGAAGAAGATCACTATAAGTAGATATGTTGTGGTTGATGAATCAGCCACATGGGATTGGAAGAATGGTGATATCAGAAAAGGAATAGACCTATCAATTCCATTAGACGATAATGAGGCAGAAATAGAGCCTGCACAGCAACCTGAGAGAAGGTCACAAAGATTAAGAATGTCACCTGTGAGATTTGAAAACTATGAAGTGTTTCCTGACAATGCCATCA